TCTCAGTGTGCACAACACATTTTCATTCAATTAGTTTTAAAAGTATTTAATATTTATTTGAGTTTTCAGTTTAAAAATAGCTGTCCCGGCAATACTAATTTTTTTTTATTTTTATTAATATTAAAAATATGTTTTATTTTTTTTTTGGAACTGAATAATTACCTGACACATTTTAATATTTCGTTGTGTATTGTAATGGGTTAACATTAAATAAACCAAATCCGTCACGCCTTCCTGTGCTGTTTACTAAAGAATAAACGATGTTCAGTAGTTACCATAGATAAGGTTTGACTAATAAACGATGAACCGAGAAACGAGAACCACAAAATCAACAAAAATAATAGTAATTAAAATATATATAATTAATACATATATATTAATATATATAATATTATAATTAATTTTATTATCAACGTAACCCAATCAACAAAAATTATACCTCTATAACTAAATACTAAAATTCCTGTATCAGCTATCCTTTAGGGGTAGAATTTTAGAAATTTCAAAACCTATAAACCTTATCCGGACCACGCGGAACATTTAGTGAAAAACCCTGTTAAAATTGGTCCAGTAGATTTTGAATCTATAAAACAGCAGTCGCCAACGTTTTTGATTACAAAAACAACAAAAGTCATAACTGCAAATTCTACGGACCACTATAGAGTCTATAGGTCATTATTCAGATGTTTTGATTGAACCAACAGCTTTTTTTCATAAATAATGTTCCACTAATACACAAAAAAAAAAAACATTTATAAAATAATAAAGAATTTTTTTTATTTATAAAATATTTTATTAAGTTGAAAACTTATAATGCCTACGATTTGTTTCAATTGTGATCGAGTTCGTAATGCAAGTATGAATTTTACTAATTGGCAAAAACATATCAATGCTTGCAAAAAGCGATAGTTATCTCAAAGTACAAGTTATAACAACCACACGCTAACAGAATTTTTTATTAATTTTTTTTTTTACGTGATTGGTGTGGGGGACGAGTGGTGTGTGATAGATGTGTTCAACAGTATAAACCATTGTGTGTCATCAGTTAATTGAGTTCACTGATTCTTAATAATTCAAAATAGTCTATGTTTATGTATATTCAAGTAGGTACATACGTATAAAATACGAATCATTATATTAATAATACTTATTTGTTCCCTTATTAGTTGTATACTTGTATAACTTCGCAAGTGTTACGAAATATACACGGAACACATTACTGAACAACACGTCCAGCATTGAAAAATAAAAAAAACATATTGCGTTGAAGTGACCGTCGCGTCGTTTGTTATTACGCTATACAACTCAATCTGCGCAAAATTAGGTATTTTTGTAATACCTATACGAGTATTCACCGTAAAAAAAACACGTGTTGTGTACTCTTAGTCCTGTCGTTTAGTTACGAAAATGCAGGCTTGTCTATTTGCAGTGGCCAAAACTTCGCGAGATAATAATACGTACTTATTAACTTCTCCTTCTTCGGAGGTGTTTTTTTTTTCTTCTTTTAAATCGCAATAATTTCGCAGCGAAACGAAAAACTGTATACATTGTCAATATTTTTGACTATTGCGGTTTTAAGTGCGGTTCCGAGGCAAAACAAACAACGGTGGCAGCATTCAAAAATCCAAAGAAAAACGAAATCGAATAATGCAACGATGACGTACGCGGCGGAATCGGAGTAGCGGCAAATTAAATGGCATTCAATTAATTGCTTATTATAAAAATTTCGTACGACACACGATACAGCGATATCTTATTGTGCCGACGGAAAGCACGATTTATAGTGTTTCGGGCGTGGACGTCAATTTGAACGGACCGCAAGAGTTTCTACAATAGTCGATATGTTATTAGCTGTAGGTGGTATTATCTTTACGTTTTATTTATGTCACCGACAAGAATACGAGTTTATTGTAGGCACACCTACTACAAGACGACGAATTCGGTGTTCGGATCTATCCAGATAAACTATTTACCTAGTATTTATCTAATAACCGAGGTGGGCCGTATTTCAAGTGATGTTGGTAGACATTATGTATCTTAGATTCATATTTCACATCTACAGATAAATTATTTTAGATCGTTTGTTCGTTCATTTCGTGTTAAATAACCGAAATTATTGTCCAAACGAAAATATTTTTATTCTCTTATAAAAATATTAGTTACACCATTGATTGTATACATATCAAAGTTTATACACATGTATAGGTACTAACGAGTTAATGAATAAGTTATGTTGCTGAATTAGATTTATTTTGGGTCTTTAACTTTGGCAGTTTCTTGTTTCTTCTTCGGTTACTTAATACATTAACATCAATAATTCTATAATGAAGTTACAATTTACATATCTTGCACACTACCCAACGAAGATAAGTAGGTTGAACTTAAAGATATTTCAGTAGTCTAGGTTAAATTAAAGCTAATTCTATTTAAATTCCTTAACCTAACGAGTTAACATTAAGGGAAATTATACCATCTTTTTACAATTAACTTTAAATATTCTGTTCATTTTTCTGAATTGAATTTATAAAATCCATACATTTGACCAGTCGGTTTAGCTCTGTATTGTAACATAAAACAACAAATTTAAATTTTTCTTTTTTAGATCTAAAGAACATTTTTATTTATTTTTACCTTTATGCTTAGAGAAGTTCACATTTTATCTTTTATTTTCATCATGGTGAAATATTACGAACAAATTTTATCACTCACTAAATTTATCTAGATAATATTTTAGTCGGTTCTAATCCGGAAATTGAAGGTCATTGTTTCAGATATCCCTATCCAAGTAGCAAAAACAAATTGTATGGGAATAAATCAAAAAATAACCTATAGATTACCTAGACATACAATAAAAACTCGAAATATTTTGGAAATTATTGTTCGCTGTTTTTCTGGGTTTACACCTAGGAAATTTAATTAATGAACGCGCGAGAATTATTCGTTCGGCCCGCGACGGCGAGCATAACGAATTATTGATGAGACACGTAAACATCCAAAACACCACAATACCTATAGGTACTGGTACGACGAACGACTGCACCTTCAGGGATGGTTACGCGTTTAGACGGAAATAACGCGTAAAAAAAAAAAGGTCTAAAAACTGCTCAGGGTCTCGACAATTAAACAGCGCCCGTATAATTTTATGCGAGAATAACGACGAGTATTTTTATGAATGGGGAGGAGGGGGAGGGGATGGAATTTTCTCCTTTTTTCGCGTATTGGTTCGTACACAATTTTAATTATCTAGAGCAATTAGAAAGAATCGAACGTCAAATTTTAATTTTTACTAATATCATATATATTCTCCGTCGTAATTATTTTTATTACTGTCGTACGATGTGATATGATAACTGTCGTAATAAACTCGTTGTGCGTAACATAATAACAGCCGGGTATAATATTATAACATATAGAAAATTATAATACAATGTTCTCCGATACATTTTATATTAAAATCCATTCTATGCATGAACCGAGTGTACATTCTTGGAAGTAATAATATCGCATAGTCGCAATATAATGCGAGCGGCGTCTATGTACGTGGAAAAAGTAAAACATACAAAATGGATAAACGGCTTTATTAATTTGTCGGTGCATTTTTATCGAGAACTCATTTCAGAACGTAGTGGTATAGCGAATAAGAGCAATCCGTGCCGGCGGTAGGAGAGGACAAATGCGACATAAGTCCGAGCCCCGCACTCGTTCTGGTTTCAATGGGCCCAGCGGTTTATTACTAAACACGTATATAATCATTTTAGTAACACTAAAGCATTGTCCAGGGTCCCGCAAAACCTAGCGCCGCCACTGAGAGCAATCAACGATTTTTACTAGGATGTGGGTTTTTTTGTTCCTTACGGGTAACACGCCTTCTTGATTGGTTCCAAACGCTCCGAATTCTTCACGCCATACTTTCAAATGTGCAGATTTTTGCTCGGTTGTATTTTATGAGAAAAAAAAAGATTCTTGGTTTCCAACGCAGTCGGTGTAAAACAATTAAAAGTTCGACGACAAAATAATGTCGATGTGTCGATTTTAGTTTAATTGATTGCTGGATTACCTTGGCTACACGGAAAACGAACACGAGTAACACGCATTACCAGCTCTCAAATCGTTCTTTTGTTGCGATGATTTATCGTTGTTTTAAACGATTGAGTATATAAATCAAACTAAACCATATCTTGTATCGTCCAAATTTCTCGCCTACATCAGTGATTCAACCTACCCGTGAGTCGAAATATTTCAGGCGATTTCGGATATAATACACTAACAATTAAATCTTATCAAAATATTTTATTACTGTTCTATAATATAATTCCAGTGAAATACCAATTTGTAACTAAACAGCCACAGAGTGTTGACGCTCGGCAATTATACTTTATGGTATTAACAAATTATTATTCTTGTGTATTGTATAATATATTTCGGCGAAACAAATTAAACACAGTCGTGCCAAATAAATAATGAGCTTTTTAGCATAATAATTGTTAAAAATTACCGGTGTAAGTGTTAGAGGGGGACTGAATATTTACGGCTATAGACTATATTTAAGTAAACACTGAAAACATTACATTGATAAAAACACGCAACACAATAAATAATATGGTAAAATCAAATTACCTCCCATTAAACTTAAATAAAAAGTTTTTAGTTTCTTTGAGATTTTTTTTTCTCATAACTTCCATTTTTTTTAAACACACAGTAATGTCATATTTTATTATATTTTAAAGTTTTAAACAAATCTTTTACAAATATATTACATGATTTACATATTATTTTATTATTTTCACCACTCTTCACTTTTATTCGAGTAAATCAAAAGTAGAATCGGCGTTGGGAAAGTGGCGTCCCTATCGCCCAGTGCCCTTAATTGGGTGCTGTAATAGCCCCACCTTGATCTTAAGTGATCGGAGTGGTCTGGTCCTCCAAGTTGGGGGTTTAGTGCAGGGCTAACGCCCCTGCCTAGTAAAAAATCTTCTGTTCAGGATCTAATAAACATAAACATGCCTCGGATAAGTGGAGTTTTGGATAAAAAGACTGGAAATCGGAAAAATGGCTTATTGTTTGGGACATTTAACGTACGTACTCTTTTCAAACCAGGTGCGGCCCAAAATATTGTTAAAGAAATCGAGAAATACAAGTTAACAATAGTGGCTTTACAAGAAATTAGATGGGATGATAATGGAACGATAGATATACAAGAAACAACAATACTTTATGGTAAATGCAATCAACAACGTCAGTTTGGAACTGGGTTTGCGGTACACAAAAGCTTAATACCAAATATAAGGGAGTTCAAAGATATCAATCCAAGAATCTCATTGTTGACAATGAAAGTGCAGTTTTTTGACATAACTTTCATAAATGTGCATGTGCCTTCCGAAGGTAAGCCGCAGGAAGAGAAGGATGACTTCTATGAGTGCTTGGATTTAACATTAAATGCATTACCTCAACACAGAATTAAAATAGTCTTAGGTGACCTAAACGCAAAAGTTGGTAAAAAGGCTGTATTCAGACCAATAATTGGTAGTCACAGCCTGCACGAGGTTACAAATGATAATGGATTAAGACTTATCGATTTTGCATGTGGAAATGGACTTGTAGTGAAAAGCACAATGTTTCCTCATAAAAATATTTATAAGGGAACATGGATGTCACCAGATGGAATGTAGGTCAACCAGATCGACCATATTCTAGTGAGCACAAGATTCAAAAACTGTATTCAAGACATAAGAACGATGAGAGGAGCCGATGGTGATTCGGATCACTATCTGGTAAAAGGAAAAATGAAAGTCAAAATAAAAAAGGTTACTCGGAAAAAAGGAATATTGGTAGACAAATATGACACAGCTAAACTAAACAATGTGAATACGTGTGAAAGATTCAAGTATCAGATGTCGGAAAAAATCAGAAGGATAGATGCAGGTATAAATGACTCAATTGATGTGAAATGGAAAAAAATTAAAGATACAATAAATATTGTGACAGTCAGAAATCGGAAAAGTAAAAGCCGTAAGAAAACCATGGTTTAACGACATGTGTGAAGATGCTCTAAATTGGAGAAAAGAAGCTAGAAACCAGTGGCTTAATGACCAACATAATATAGAAAAAGAAATTGCGTATAAAGTATGTTAGAAGAGCGCAAGTAGTGTATTCAGAAATTAAAAACGAAAATATACTAGGAAATTATTGGAAGAAGCAGAAGTAAATTCTAGAATGAATAGAACGAGACAGTTGTACCAAAAAATAAACAGTATAAGAGGAGGATTCAGAAAACATAACAAGTTCTTGAAAAATGAAGATGGTTCACTGACAACAGGANGAGAAGATATGATTCAGGGAGAAATATTAAAAAATTTAGATGAGACTTAACTTTGCTAAGGCCAATTGTCCTGTACGGAGCAGAAATATGGCCCCTGAGAAAGACTGAAGAACGAAGAATTGCAGTATTTGAGAGAAAAGTATTCAAGAAAATGTATGGGGCATACTTTGATGTTCTCACAAATGAATGGAGGAAATTACACAATGAAGAACTGCAATCCCTTTTTCAACGACCGGATATACTGAAAGAAATAAAATAAAGAAGGCTAGTTTGGGCTGGACATGCCTGGAGGAAACATGACTCATTAATAAGAAGAGTAATAGAGGAAAACCCAGTAGGAAGGAGACCTCTTGGAAGACCGCGTCTAAGATGGGAGGATTGCGTTAGGAGAGACACTGAAACACTGGAGCCGGAGTGTCATTGGCAAGAAGTAGCAGAGGATAGGGATAGGTGGCAGTATGTTTATCTAGAGGTATGGTCTTGAATGGCCGAAACCAAGAAAGAAGAAAAAGAAGAAGAAGAAATCAAAAGTAGGTAAATCAAGTAAAACTATTATTAAGCTATTCAAGTACTAATATTATGGTGAATTTTTGGCCATTTTTATGAGGAATACAATATACCTAATATAAAAGTTGAGATTGTATAAAAAAAAAAATCACATTTGAGCGGTTTTTTAAATCCTGTACGGAGATTCAAAGCTATGGTTATTTATTTATTTACCGTTTTTTATTATTATTATTATTATTGTGCATTTTTTACTATTATGTCGACGTGTTCAGACGAAGGGAGAAAATGAATACAAGAATACATTATTTACGTTTTGGATTTGTAAATATTACCGAAAAAACCCTACAGATTATTTATCAGACAATAACCGCAAAACAGACTAAAATTAATTATTAAAACCCATTATTCACACACTAGTTATATAATAATAATATGTGCCCTCCGCTCGCTATTATAATATGTTCAAAAAGCGAATGATTAATCGTTTTTTTTTTTTTACTTAAAAGGAGAATGAGAGAAAAAGAGAGACTTTCTAATAATATAAGTCTACTCGCGAATTATCCGTCCAAAACACGATTCCCACGAGACTAATCCGAGAGAAGAAACGGGTAGCAAAACAAAACTAGTAACTTCACAACGCCAAATTCACTGTTTTGAACATAGGTATATTCCCGAGCAGGGTTCCGGGGAATTGTTCCTTTGTGAATGCTTTATTTTCGTTTTCATACTTACATAATGTGTGTATTTTCTTTGTGTGAATACTATATTTTCGAAGCACTAAAAAGTATCCGAATGTTTCGTGTAAAATACGTACTTATCGATTGGGAATTGAACATCAAAAGCATGGCCTTTTGAGTTTTGGGTAGGTATATAAGTATATATTTTTATAGACTCTGAGTAAAGTGAGGAATATACAGGGTGTCCCCCGCAGATATATCCATTATTGCAATATCTCTTGAGATAAGTAGGTAATAAAAATAATAACAATATATTTTTTTATATTACTCACAGGGATAAGGACTAAAAATATTCATATTTTAATTAAATTTGTACGTTTTGGTAAAAAACTAAAAAACAACTTTTTATTTTATTATTTTCGAAAAATTTAAAAAGTATCTATATAATTATGCATCAGGCTGTAATCATATTAGCTAATTGACTACGATTATTATGGCTAATTAACTGACTGTTCACTTTTTTCTCTAAACTTTAAATTATTATTAAAAATCACGAATTAAATGAAAATACAACACTGATACTTCACAATTTTCAAAATAATAAACTCTACAACATGACTATTACCTTTTTTTTAAAAAAATATAATTTGATTTTCTTTATTATCTCCGAAGATAATACAACAGGTATATCTTCGTGGGACACCCTGTATTGATTTTACTATGGTGTTTTTTATTTTTTGTCTATGAATAACTTTTACACTAATAATCTTGCTCCAATTAACAACTCTAGCATCTTTTTTTTAAATAAAATGTTATCTAGTCGGTTTAATTAAGAAGACGAGACAATTCCCGTAATAATTGTTTCTGCTATTTTCGAATTCGTTTATTTTCTATAATTTAGATAAAAATTAAAGTGGAGACCTAAAATTTGCATAGAATATACAAATTAGCTTTTTCTGGACGTGGTAATTTTTAAAAAGCATTCCGGCGTATTTTTTCGGTCTTTTATGGATAAAATTGTTTTAACCCAACAAAAATGCTAACAAATGTATTAGAATTTTGTAAGAGATTATTCTGTATAATCATTTCATTGTGTCATTTTTATAAAGAGGTAAAATTGAGCTAATGGTTAGAAATATTGTATGACCTGTCTAGAATACCCGGCTACAGGTTCCGTAAACTCATAAATCCTATTCTGCCTATGTGTTTCTAAAATAATTTTATGAAATATTATAAAAATCTGTGTTTTGGGAGTTTTTTGTCTTTCTTGAAAAATGTTTAAATTTGAACATGTGCCCATCTGTGTTTAACGATTCTTATACTACGAGTGTGATGGGTGCGTTTTGCGATCGTCGTCTATGTTATTTTGACTTTGTGCTTACATGTCAACGTAAAAAATATTATAGCGCAGGGCTTACGGGTTTATTTGTTTCGCCTGCGAATGTCTAGCGTGTAAACAAAAAAAAATGCATAACAATCATCGCGTTTCGCACCGTCACGCGCTATGAAAAATACATCAAATCCCAATTACACACAATGTGGTCTTTCTATCCGCGTGTTGGTTTTTTCTTCGAAAATTCAAACGAACACTGAAAATATATTCCGTATAGTTAAAATAAAATATTCCCGATCCCTCTTATTTAAACTTTGATTGTAAACCACTTTCCAGTAGATATACTCAATGAAAATACGGTGTAACCATGTGCAATCAAATCCCGTATGATTAAAACTCGAACAAATCAAATTATATTTTTGCGTTAGCACACCCGATGATTGCATTAAATTTCAATCTGATTTGAATCATTTTTCAAATTGGTTCAATACCTTAGGTTTATCACTTAATCTCGATAAATGAAAATTTATGACATTTACTTGGTCCCGCTCTCCCTTAATGCGTCCATAATTTCTTAACAGTTCTGCCGGTTCTCGTGTTGTGGACGTTTTCTGGGATCCCCATACTGCCGATAATGCAAGATAAATTGAGCGTGTTAAATGCAGGTTCCTTCGCTATGCTGGCTTTATACTAAAGATATATTGCGTACTTCATAACTATCGGCCAGTTGCTTCTCACCTCGGTTTAGCCTCTTTGGCTGAGCGTTGCCGTATCGTGGGTATTAAGTTCCTCGCGGGTCTATTGAACAATAATATTGATTTGCCTACCCTTCTCTCTCTAACCTGTTTCAGAATTCCTTCTCATTCATCTCGCTCACGTAAGTGATAAAAATGATTGTTTGGAATTTTCCACCCAAGAAATTCATTTTTTTTTTAATATTTAGGTTTTCAAGTTATGTACGAATAATATTGTAGATAATCACAAAAAACTGGAAACATATAAAATTTTATTACAGTTATTCATATTGAAAAAAAAAAAAAAAGGTTAATATTAATTAATCACATAATATTATGTATTATGTAGACAAATCGTTTTGTTTAAAAAAAAAAAATATGAGTATCTTTTTAACGATACGAGTTTTTTGTAGTTTCATCCTACCCCATTAAACCAAATATTTATTATTAATACATAATTTAATCCATAAAATATAATACACATACAAATTAGCATCACGCAAAAATGTACACCGTGTAAAATAATAAAAATGTATGTAAAATAATAAAAAATACATAGATCATAAATTTCAATTAGTCATCCGCTCTTTTTAAACAACCCTGTATTACGATAAGTGTCCCTACATATACCTATTATATTAAATAAAATGTAAAAAAAAAAAATAACCTGCAGACATTTCCCCGGTGCTCGTAAAATAATTAATTTTGTAAAAAAAATTATTTATTATTCAACTAGTATATTATTTTGATGATGGTGATGATGATAAAATTACATTAAACCGTATTACCATAATATAACAATATGCTTTGTAAACTAAAATTGATCGTAACGTCGTGGTTGTTGTTGTTGTTACTGCGATAACAACAAGCTAAAATATTATATTCGCTCGTGTTGAATAAGAAAAAAAAACTCGTAGAACTTTTCATAATATCAAAAAAAAAAAAAAAAAAAAAAAACCAACCCGCTTCTATTCAAACACCATTATTAATCATTTCTTTATTATTACGAAAAAAAATAAATAGAAATAATAATAATAAAACCGAGCCGTGATGTACCATCATTTAATCACCTGCAGTACTTGTGTTACTGCTAAATTTGATAGATAAGCAAATATATCTATTCGACTATATAACACAATATTTTTAATTTCTGTTTAAACGTTCCATTTTTATTACGATCTATTATAATTGAGGTAAACGAATGAATTATATTATATTAAGCCGGTTAAGTTAACAATCAATTTGAAAATTACATTAACTTATTGATTCGGGGTGACTAGATTTCATTTATTTTTTTCTGTAAAATTATTAGTTTTATCATAGTGAACGTGATTAATTCGAGAGATTGCTGTATTTTGAAAACAATAATCATAATGTAAAGGCATTACTGATAAGGTACCTTAAAAAAATAAATAAAAGTAAAAACATCTAAATCGTAGTTTCTTATCAGGTTTTTATTTTTTAGAAAAACTGTAGGGAGTGTAAAACGTATATTCAAAGAATGTGTAGATACTACTAAGCGAAAAATCTAGATCTTTTACGTGACATAATCGAATTATTTTTTCTAACCAAAAATCTTTCTCGAGAAAAAATAACACTCACACGCCTCAAGTAAAAAACCTTATTGTTGTATCTTGGTTATTCGCAGAATCTAAAATAAGGTAAATTCATAAAACACCAAACACGAAAACGAAAAGCCAAGTCAATAGTCAAAATCGACTTGAATGTTACTTTTTTACTATCGATAATGTCCATCACCCTTACCCATACAACACGGTTAAGTTATAGACAAGATTTTCCAAAATGATAATCGATAATGTAAAAATCTACATTGATTTTCAGTATCCAGATAATTAAATTGTATGTATTCAGATACTCGACACATTAAAATTTAAATAACAATTAAATTGCACCGTTATCGGCATCCGGTGTTATCAAACAAATTATTTAGAAAAAACGTAATAGATAAGCCAAGGAACCAAGGGGGTTTTCAAGTACATTTGGTACG